GGCACCAAGAAAAAAATTCACTGTATACAAACTGCCACTAAGAAGCTCAAATGACATGGAAGAAAAAAACTTTCACTGAAGTGGTCTACAGTTTCCACAAGTCTTGATCAATTAAGCTAAACAAGAAGAAAAAAAAAAAAGAACTGGACACCAGCACACACTTGGAGAAGCCATCTAGTTTCAATAAACCATTACTTAGTCATATTTTATGACTTGCTTGTTGAGGGGCAGTGGATCTCAAACAGGTACAAAGGACTTAGAAAGTTGCATATGTTGATCAAGACACGCAAATATCATATCCTTGCTGTAAACCCGCACAGTCAATTGCATCGTTGGGTTAAGAAAGAATAAGATGATTTTTGTCATGTTTACAAACAAGTTTGTGCACTTTTCTGCTATGTGATGCCAGTTCGAACCCCAGGAGAGACTGGATATTTGTTCAACCAGAAGGAGTAGAGTCAACCCAGCCTCACCAAAGTAAAGATCATCAAGTACCCTACAGACTGGCATGGGCAGCCATACCTCTCCACAACCTGGGATCTTCCCATGTCTTTCTTTGTCTCTTTTTTCCACAGATCTTTTCAGTGGTCACAACATGTTCCAGTTTCTTTCATCTTGTAACATTTCCAAAAAAATGATAACTGCATCTTCTGACATTTGTGATCAGATTGCTCTTTTTGGTGTCCAAGGAATTATAAGGATTCATCTTTCCAGTATTTAGCTTGTCTTTTAATTATCTAGTACTCACAGCCATATGTTAAAACTGGCTCTATATAGTCTGCAAGAATTATTTTGGCATGACTAGGAAAAATATAATGGTGGTTCCTCTAATTAATAAATAAAATATATATCAGATGATTTCTTGAAATGTCTGGTAAATTTCTGCCAAGAAATTGGAGCGAAGATGCGAACTGATCGCCCTACCTCATATGTCATTACCTATAATATATGCAGACGTAACACTTCACAGCCCAACTACAGTATCTGATATGGGGCTATTTTTCAAACCAAAGATGTTAAACGACGGAGAAGATTGGAGAGTCATAAACACATGAAGAAGATGAAAAGTTAACAGGATGAAAAAGAGGAGGAGAAAAAGGCATATATAATTTTCACCTATTATAAGCTGTCATTGATTCTAAATGTGCCCATGCTGCATTTCAGAATGTGGAGGTATTCTGGCAGGCCCTGAAGGAGTCATCACAAGTCCTAACTACCCTGCTTTTGACATGGAATATAACTCTGCATGTGCTTGGAGAATTATTGCCCCTGAAGGCACCAGAATCAGAGTACTTCCTTTTTTTTTTTTAAATTTAAAGTTCTTAAACATTTCCCTAATGTTGTTCTCGGACATGCCCCTGTTGTTGTTTTTAGTACATCCTTTTTTTCAATTTTTATTCTCAAATATTTCTCTGTTTTTATTGTTTTAGATATTTTTATTGTTCGTAAACATGTCCATGTTATTATTTTAGTGGTTCTAATTATTTTAAATATTTCCGTTTTTATTTTAGTAATCCATTTATCATTCTTGAACATGTCCATTTTGATGTTTTTAGTACATCCTTTTATTGTTCTTAAACATGTCTCTGTTGTTGTGTTTAGATATCCTTTTATTCTCAAATATGTTTCTGTTGTTGTGTTTAGATATCATTTTATTGTTCTCATATATGTCTCTGTTGCTGTGTTTAGATATCCTTTTATTGTTCTCAGATATGTCTCTGTTATTCTGTTTAGATATCCTTTTATTGTTCTCAAATATGTCTCTGTTATTGTGTTTAGATATCCTTTTATTGTTCTCAAATATGTCTCTGTTGTTGTGTTTAGATATCCTTTTATTGTTCTCAGATATGTCTCTGTTCTTGTGTTTAGATATCCTTTTATTGTTCTCATATATGTCTCTGTTGCTGTGTTTAGATATCCTTTTATTGTTCTCAGATATGTCTCTGTTGTTGTGTTTAGATACCCTTTTATTGTTCTCAGATCTGTTTCTGTTGTTGTGTTTAGATATCCTTTTATTGTTCTCAAATATGTCTCTGTTGTTGTGTTTAGATATCCTTTTATTGTTCTCAAATATGTATCTGTTGTTGTGTTTAGATATCCTTTTATTGTTCTCAAACATTTCCTGAGAATGTTTCCAGTGTATTGCCATCTTTTTCTTTCCTAATAACTGTTGATGACAGAGGTTGTTTGGTCATTTCTCTTACTTCTTCTGCCTTCTTGAATTCATCCCATTTACTGTATTTTTAATAAAGCCTTTCATTTTTCCAATACATAATCTTCATGCAGCTTTGAGGTGACCATCCCAGTTATCCCAGTTGTTTTTCTTTTGTCACAATGTGCCCAAAGAATGTTAATGATCCTCTTCGGATACAGACAATAAGCTCTCTTTGGTAGTTAATGTTTTTTAAGTTTCCCTGTTATATTTGTAAGTGCAGAGTGCTCTCCTCCTCTTTCTTCTAGAAGACTACATATTTTCTTTCTAATCTGCTGACTGTGCATTGTTAAGTAATTTACTTCAAAGCTGACTTTTTTTCTTTACTTTTTTCTTCTGCATTTACTCTGAAAAGGGCATTTTGTTTATGACATTCTTGTTAGGGAGGCAATTTGCCCCCTTCCCCACTCTCCAATGGTGGGATTTCACTCTACATAGCTGTTGAATACTCTCTTTCTTATCTGGATTGACAGAATAGTAATCTTTAGAATATTCTTCATCACTTGAAAGGATTCTTTTACTTGGACATTTCTAAAGGTAACTATGTTAAATCAGCTGACATCTGCAGAAATTAATATAGCCAAATACTTCAACTCTTTGAGCTTCTTCATACTAGTGCCAAATTCTACCATGTTGTATTACGGAGTACACTTATTCTCTGTAACCATAACTTTGGTTTTACCATTGCTTCAACTAAGATCTTTGTGGTGATTGTCTTCTCTGCATTGAAGTAAAAAAATGTATCTAGTTACTCAGTTGGCACCCTTCCATTGTTTTAGGTGATAGTATTATATTGACCTATGGGAGTGCATTAGAATCACAGTTTATGGTGAGGGCGTGTGTGACCAGCAAGACCCGCCCACGTTAGAAATAGTCTTTCACAGTTAGAGCATGGCATTTCAGGACTGTTGTTTTGGGCATGTATTTAGTATTCTTCTTCTCAGATGTTCATCTCTCAACCTTATTGCAATTATTTGTTTTCCTTTATCCCTTTTCCTTCTTAAATTCCACCCCCCCCCCCCCCAACCACGCACACAGTACAGCCCATGACATTTTGTCCAGGAATCTACCTCTATCTATGTTATTTATGTCCCACTTGCACAAATCTTTATATTATAGTATAAGCTGACCTCAACGTTCTATATCCATAATTCATTCACATCTTGTATTATTTCCACGCAGGTCAATTTCACAGATTTCATTCCTGAGTTCCATGATTGTGCTTTTGAAAGCCTCCAGATACAAAATGGTGGCCTCCCTGATTCTCCAGTGATTGGTAGATTTTGTGGAAACAATCCTGGATCCTTCCTCTCTCAAAGCAATGAACTACGGCTAACATTGCAGTCAACCTACACAGTGAGAGGCAGAAAATTCAGGATGGAGTATCAGTTTGATTCAGGAGGTAGGTAGAAAATTTTGGGTGAGAATGCATAAAAGTAAAGGTAATGGCAAAGTCAGGAGATGTGAACCAGCGTCATTGCACACAGTTATAAACCATAAGTGCTCTGCCACCAGTATGACAGCTGATAAGAAACTGTCCGCTGGTGTCGCCGTCCGCACGTAACTCTGTAGCTACAGCGACGTTTCTCCATTCACCCCAGAGTGTCAGCTCTGGTACCCATTTCCTAGAGGCTGGTTGAACCCTGGAAACAACCCGGTTTCGAACACCGACCGTGGCTGCAGCGAGTTGCAGCTGGATTTGAAAGCAAGCCTTTTATTGACTGCGCTAAGTGAGAATGCATTTTAGTCAGTATGTTTATAAATGATTCATGACAATTCTCGCCCAGCTGAAGTTCATGGGGGTTCTTAGCAAAAAAGGGCAACAAAGCCTGGCATTGACATCTACTTTAAAAATTGAAGTGGAGGCAGTCCTTTCAGCCTTCCGATGGCTGGAAAATCATGTGATAATTCTAACTGACTTACTTAGCTTGTTGAGAAGGGTGGGGACTGGTATGCTCCCATGAAGTGTGGTGAGCTTTAAACGGCAGAGGTTGCATTTGCTAAACAGCAACAACAGTGTAATTATATGACATAAGATTTAAATTTTAAAAATTTAAAAATGTCTAATTTTTTTATTGTTTGGGTCAGTCAGTGGTTACCCAGTCTGCAACATATTTTCTCGATTCACTGGTTTAAACATGTAGAATGTCACAGCTTTAGAATATCAGTCTTTGAATATTAAGGAGTTAAAATAATAGAATTATGCCATATAATAAGTAAGAGTAACAAGTGAGATAGAATAATTTGACATTACAAAAGAAGAAGTCAGAACAAAATAAATATTTGTGTCTATTTTTTTTTTTTTTTTGTACAACTACTTATGCCTTAAAGCATCACAGAAAAGAGTTAGATGTAATTTCCTGTTTTTACTAGTTGTGTTAATGTTATATTGCAATTCTGTAGTGTTTCTTTTACTCCATTCACCTCTAACCTTTTTAATCACAGTCTTGACCTTTAGCCTCTTCTCACTGTTCTCAATTCTTCTTTGGTGTTTCTGCCTCTTCTTGTTTTTCCTGCTGCATTTCTTAGACATCTCATCTCATATGTGATTATGTGTTTATGTTTTAAAATGTCTTACTTTTTTTATAAATTGTGCAGTTAGAAATGATTCTAGAGCAGACCTGAGCAAGCCCTTAGAGGATTTATTGTTCAAACACGTGTGCTAAAGATAAGAAGAGAAGTAAAATCCAATAATTTGAACATATAAAGCAGGCATGGTAATGTCCATGTTTCTCACAGAGTTAATAAATAACTGACCTTTTTTTGGTTTTTAAATTTGACCCCTCAGGTTGTGGAGGATTGTTCCACAGTAACCAAGGAAGTCTCAGCTCTCCCAACCACCCCTCCAGCTATCCCCACAACACCGAGTGCAGATGGGACATTAATGTTCAGAGCGGCTACATGGTCAACCTGCACTTTAACCCTCCATTCGACCTGGAAGCTAGGGACTGTGCCAGAGACCATGTTGAGGTATTTATAGAGATATTCCTGCCAGTTTGTAACCAGCTAATTTTCAAATGTGTATCTTTCCTGAATGGGTTCCAGGAAGTATTAGTCGACCCGCTGCCCTTTTACAGGCATGTCACAGGTATTCTTTTTATATTTTCTCCAGCCTATGCCAGTGTGTTGGGAAATGAGCAGGCGGATAGACTGGCCGGTTCTGCACCACTTGGTGGTAAACTGATGTATGACAAGCTGGATGTTGTGAGGGCCCTTTGGGAGCTAGTGAACAGTGCCGAGGCAGATAGAACATTACGGCCTGAGGAAAATGCCGCTGTGAGGAGTTACAAAGGGTTCTGGCCGACGCTTGACACTGGGGGTAAAAGGCAAGATGGATATACAGTCATACGGTTACTGGTACCATCATATTTTAACTCTTGGCTTGCTGCTGAAGATGGAGGATGGAGCGTTTATGGGGGTGTCCTGAGTGCTGTGATGTTGATTCTTAATTCAACTTTCAAGGCATGTCATAAAGGGGATTAATTAAGTACCTGCTAAAATCGGGTATGTTGGGATTAAGAAGTTTGAGCATATCACAGCCTAAATATAAACCACAGCACAACACGTTAGTCATATTTGTAAGGCTGAAGGAAGAAAGGATGAGTGGCTGAACAGTCAAGAATGCTGGCTATCATGTAGAAGACCTGGATTCAAATCTGAGGATTTGTTCTGTAGGAGGGCATACATAAAATCTTAACCTGCACAGTCCATGGTGACAGCACCAGACTCAAAGACCTCCCTGCCTACACCGCAAAAATGGTGAATATAGGCAGTAATAGCAGTTTAATGGCAGAATGAAGGAGGGGAGAAAGAAAAGAAGAAGAGGAAGAAAGTGTATCTGCACTGGTACCAACCTTTCCATGTCAAAATTGATTCCACTAGTCACCTGCATACTCATAGATCCTAATGTACTTACCGAATCAGTGACTGGCTTACCAGATCAGTGACTGGCTTACGAGATCACTGACTGGCTTACCAGATCACTGACTGGCTTACCAGATGACCGACTGGCTTACCAGATGACCGACTGGCTTACCAGATGACCGACTGGCTTACCAGATGACCGACTGGCTTACAAGATGACCGACTGGCTTACCAGATGACCGACTGGCTTACCAGATGACCGACTGGCTTACCACATGACCGACTGGCTTACCAGATGACTGACTAGCTTACCAGATGACTGACTGGCTTACCAGATGACTGACTGGCCTACCAGATGACTGACTGGCTTACCAGATGACTGACTGGCTTACCACATCACTGACTGGCTTACCAGATCTCTGTCTGGCTTACCAGATCACTGTCTGGCTTACCAGATAACTGACTGGCTATCATGGCTGAACAGCTTCCTCTATATTTCCTGAAGCTGGTTCTATGGATTCAAGATAAATTGAGCTTTATAGCTAATTTAGAATGTTCAAATAAGTATTCATTTACTGCATAAAAACAGAAACCACAAGCATTCATATTTTAGTGCCTGTGTAAAACATATTAATATGAGAGATCAGGTTGAGTGGGGGAATGGGAAGGGGATTGGCGGGGGGTTGGGGGGGGGGGGGGGGGGGGGGGGGTTACATTCATCACATTCCCACTTAGATGGCAAACTAACAATGCTCACAACCTAAAAGTCAAGACCAGAATTGGGAAGGTGCTCATTGGAGATGTGCTCTTTGCAGATAATGCTGAAGTTATGGCCAACTCTGCATGATTGTTCTTTACCCATCCTTTGATGTTATCTACTTACGTGTATGATTGTCTCTTTCTTGCCTACCATTAAAATGTTCCATCCGTCTGAGTGTCAGCTCTGTGGCTAAGTCGATGCCAACGCTTCGTAATGCCGAGTTCGATCCCAGCTGTGGGTAATGCACCTTGTGTTGGTTTCGACAGTGGTATCAGGGGGCCGACCATCCAGGAAGCAATGGCAAACTACTGGATGTAAATTTTCCTAGAGAAACCACACAACAGCCAGGGGCTGCTAGGGTTGGTTCTGCAACGTCCTGTAATGTATACAAAACTAACCTTTACCCGTCTATGTAGATCAGCACATCTTCCTCATGTAAATTTTCACTGATGAGAGCTTTGACCTCTGCACTGAGAGCAGTAGGATTCTGACACACATTTATAGGACAGAAATGGCAGAGTACTGGCTCAGAGACAGTGTGTGACTAGGAAAACTGAAAGGAATAGAAGAAGCTGAGAAAAGCCAAAGATATACAGGGTAACTAATGTTTTTCCCCTTGCCCACAAAGGACTGCATGGGATCTAGCCAACGCTCAACACTCAAGGGAAGAGTGAGATGGATATACAATCAGACAGTTACTGGTGCTATTGAAATTGGAAGTCTTCATTTGCTGCTGAAGATGCGGATGGAGCGCTTATGGGAGTGTTACAAATGCTGTGATGTTGATTCCTAATTCAACATTTAACTGAGATTTTTTATATCTCAGGGTGATTAGAAGTTCATGTAGCTGCAATGGAACAATAGAAGCAAGTGTAACTAATGAAAATTTGTTTTGTGGTTTGGTATATCTTGAGCAAACAATAGTTGTTTTATTCTAATTTGTTTCACTTGGCAGGTTTTTGATGCACTCTCCAATGGCACTCTGATCAGCTTGGGTCGTTGGTGTCATAATATCGAACCTCCAGATCTGAGGTCAACATCTACCAGAATGGTCGTTGTGTTTCTGTCTGATGCAACAACAAATGGAAATGGATTTTCTGCCAGATGGGATGTTGGTAAGTTTTTTTTTTTTTTTTACACTACCTTATTTAAAGCAAGTCAAGAAAATTATAGCAGTCATAGAAAAATGTAGTGGAGGTAAAAGCGGCCATATGGTAGATACTACTGGGGGTGTCAATTCTTTAAGCAGATGGGTTCAAAGTAGAGACCCATTTGAGAAAAAAAATCACAGTGAAAAAGTGTCAGTGTATAGCCTTCAAAGATGCAGCATATACTGGCATGCATTTCATTCAATTAGGTGGCCAGCATTTCTTTTGCATACCCAGACCAAACATGAAAAAAATAATAACACACCAGGTGCATTGATACAAACAGACAGTGCACACACTACCATCTTCGGCAATATTAGGTGGTGAGGCCCTAATCACTTCCATAGTATGACTTAAATCTGACTGCTCTAGAAATCAAGCCCTGGTACATAATGATTGTGAACCACATTCACTAATACATTCTAAGCCGTAGGTGAAGCTTCATTGTTCTAGACATTGATGCTTCAGTGGGGTTAGACACTGATGCTTCATCTGTTGTTATGATTCTTTGCTCACAATTTGTAGTAAGTGCCCTCGTTTGACACTGGTAGACGAAAACTGTGTAAAAATAAATTGTGGTGGATATCAAAGTTTTGTTGAAAGCACTACTATAATAAGCATTTTGTGGGGATATCACAGTTTTGTGTAAAGCACTACTATAATAAGCATTCTGTGGTAGATACCACAGTTTTGTGTAAAGCACTACTATAATAGGCATTTTGTGGTAGATATCACAGTTTTGTGTGAAGCACTACTATAATAAGCATTTTGTGGTAGATATCACAGTTTTGTGTGAAGCACTACTATAATAGGCATTTTGTGGTAGATATCACAGTTTTGTGTGAAGCACTACTATAATAGGCATTTTGTGGTAGATATCACAGTTTTGTGTGAAGCACTACTATAATAAGCATTTTGTGGTAGATATCACAGTTTTGTGTGAAGCACTACTATAATAAGCATTTTGTGGTGGATATCAAAGTTTTGTGTAAAGCACTACTATAATAGGCATTTTGTGGTGGATATCACAGTTTTATGTGAAGCACTACTATAATAAGCATTTTGTGGTAGATATCACAGTTTTGTGTAAAGCACTACTATAATAGGCATTTTGTGGTAGATATCACAGTTTTGTGTGAAGCACTACTATAATAAGCATTTTGTGGTAGATATCACAGTTTTGTGTGAAGCACTACTATAATAAGCATTTTGTGGTAGATAGCACAGTTTTGTGTGAAGCACTACTATAATAAGCATTTTGTGGTAGATATCACAGTTTTGTGTGAAGCACTACTATAATAAGCATTTTGTGGTGGATACCACAGTTTTGTGTAAAGCACTACTATAATAGGCATTTTCTGGTAGATACCACAGTTTTGTGTAAAGCACTACTATAATAGGCATTTTGTGGTAGATACCACAGTTTTGTGTAAAGAACTACTATAATAGGCATTTTCTGGTAGATACCACAGTTTTGTGTAAAGCACTACTATAATAAGCATTTTATGGTAGATACTACAGTTTTGTGTAAAGCACTACTATAATAGGCATTTTGTGGTAGATATCACAGTTTTGTGTAAAGCACTACTATAATAGGCATTTTGTGGTGGATACCATAATTTTGTGGTAAGTATCAGTACCTATTTTCTAGAAGAAAAAAAAAAAAGGAAAACCTAACATTTAACATTCCTAATTTTTGATGCATTGTGTGTCTAGATTTGAACATTATTCTTCAAAATACGTCCAATTTATTTTCTAATTCTGTTTCAGTATGTGGTGGAGTGTTTACAGACCCAAGTGGTGAACTATTTTCTCCAGGATATCCCAACCTATACCCCAACAACCTGGTCTGTAACTACACCATCACTCCTGGATCTGAAAGGCACATTGCACTATATTTTCTTGATTTTGAGTTAGAAGGTAGGCCATTATTGTTACTTGTAATTAGTCATGTGGGCATTTATTTCATTTGGTTATGGATTAAAAAAAATAATAACAATCTTTCTTTCTTTCTTTCTTTCTTTCTTTCTTTCTTTCTTTCTTTCTTTCTTTCTTTCTTTCTTTCTTTCTTTCTTTCTTTCTTTCTTTCTTTCTTTCTTTCTTTCTTTCTTTCTTTCTTTCTTTCTTTCTTTCTTCTTTCTTTCTTTCTTTCTTTCTTTCTTTCTTTCTTTCTTTCTTTCTTTCTTTCTTTCTTTCTTTCTTTCTTTCTTTCTTTTTCTTTCTTTCTTTCTTTCTTTCTTTCTGTCTTTCTGTCTTTCTTTCTTTCTTTCTTTCTTTCTTTCTTTCTTTCTTTCTTTCTCTTTCTTTCTTTCTTTCTTTCTTTCTTTCTTTCTTTCTTCTTTCTTTCTTTCTTTTCTTCTTTTCTTTCTTTCTTCTTTCTTTCTTTCTTTCTTTCTTTCTTTCTTTCTTTCTTTCTCTTCTTTCTTTCTTTCTTTCTTTCTTCTTTCTTTCTTCTTTCTTCTTTCTTCTTTCTTTCTTTCTTTCTTTCTTTCTTTCTTTCTTTCTTTCTTTCTTTCTTTCTTTCTTTCTTTCTTTCTTTCTTTCTTTCTTTCTTTCTTTCTTTCTTTCTTTCTTTCTTTCTTTCTTTCTTTCTTTCTTTCTTTCTTCCTTTCTTTCTCCCTGCCAGTTTTCAGGTGGAAAGGTCACAGATGTCTATGAAATCTGAGGTGTGACACATGTCTTTCACTGTTACATACAACTGGGTTTCCACCTGATTGTTAAGTCAAACTTGGGATCTCTCTTGGGATCTCTCTTGGGATCTCTCTAGGGATCTCTCTATGGATCTCTCTATGGATCTCTCTAGAGATCTCTCTTTGGATCTCTCTTTGGATCTCTCTTTGGATCTCTCTTGGGACCTCTCTTGGGATCTCTCTTGGGATCTCTCTTAGGATCTGTCTTGGATCTCTCTTGGGATCTCTCTTGGGATCTCTCTAATGCTTGCAGAGATCACCCCTGTAGTATATTTCCAGTATTTTGTGGTGCCTGCCCACACGGGCACAGTTCATAACAATAGGACTAGATTCTTTGAAGAGCTGCTTTTATAACAGGAGGAGCTGAGTGGTCTCGAGGTATGGTGTCTGCCTTGAGTGCTGGAGGTCACGGGTTCAGGCCCCGGGAAGGTTGGGATTTTTTACGTGGACTTCTACTAGTTACTCCTGGTCTTTGGGTAGTAAGATCAGACACTTGTGTGTATTGTTGCACACGTAAAAAAAAAAATCCCTTGGCACTTGAAAATTAAAAAGAGGAGCCTTACGGCGCTGTCCTGGCAAAATTTTGAGTTTGAAATATAACCAAAAGTATTTCAGTATCCTCGTTGGTGCAACAGAGTTCATGCACTGGGTTGACATTCTAAAGACTCAGGTTTGAGTTAGAAGTAGAACAGAGCAGTTATGAGTTCCTACCCTTGTGCCATTATGTTGATTCATTGTTGAAAATCTAAAAAAAAAAAATTTTTATAAAAGAAACAAATGCATTTAAAAATAAAGAAATGATAAGAAGACACCTAAACAAATTTAGTAAATAACAACAAATGAGATGATTTGGCTCCCTTTGTGCCTACTGGGTCCCATTGTAAGGTGGGGGTGGGGAGGGGATAAAAATAGACCCACTACCTCCCTGATAAGCATATCGTAAAAGTCAACTAACTGGGGGTTTCCTTCAAAGTCAGTGTGCAGCTGCCTAATAGGCAAGGAACCAACTAACGGGGTTTCCTTCAAAGTCAGTGTGCAACTGCCTAATAGGCAAGGAACCAACTGTCTCCTTCAAATGAGTCAGATATGCACAACAAGATTAAAGTTCTGGAACAAGACTACATTTTAAAGATATACAAACAACTAGAACTTTCCGCCTGAGTTTACAACTGGTGAATGTGTCTAATAAGAATGCTCTTGTATCAGCTGGTCAGAGGGCCAAAGAAATATGAAAAGGACAGAGCCGGGGGAGCACCACACAGAATATGGAATGATGGCATTAAGAACAGCCATAAAGAAAGGATGATCAACTTACAAAACATATTAGGAATGGCACGCAGAAGATCTTTACAATTCTGCTAATATTCCCCTGAATTAAATGAAAGAAGAAAAGAAGAAGAAAAGGTCACTGATCACTTTCACTACACTCAGGTAATTGTTTAAGAGTTTCAGTCTCACTCTCGAGCTCAGATAAGGAGAATTTCATCACCATATGCAAATTGCAATGATCGCATGCTACCTAGGTTCTTAGGGGAAGCAATGAATAGCACCACCGGAACATTTTAAGCATGTTATAAGAGGGGACAAGGGTATGAGGACTTTAACATTACTACCCTAGCTTTAGGATCATAAAATATATTGTGACCACTGGGAAGATCTGCGGAAAAAAGAGACAAGGCATGAAGGGGTGCCAGCACATGAACTGATACATGCTGTTGAAGATTGCAGGTTGTGAAGGCATAATTGCCCATGCCAGTTGGCATGGCACTGGATGATGATGATGATGATGTCCCTAGTTTTGTTAACAAATGTGAACCAACTGTTAAAAAGTCTAAGGCTTTGCACGAGATGGTTGATGATCTATGCTTCACAGAGTGGCTTGGGAGGTGGGGGAGGGGGGTCAAATAAACAGTTAGATGAAGAAGAAAATATGATCTATTGAATCTAATCTAAGCAACAATTGTGTGAGATTTGTACTCCTTGACAGGAGTTATGAGTTAAGAATCGACATCATAGCTCTTAGGACATTCCCCGTAAGTGCCCAGTCCCCATCTTCAGTAGCAAGTGTAAAGTTCAAATTCCAATGGTATGAGTAACATTCTGATTGTATATCTTACTGTATGTCTGTCTTGCCCCTTCCCTGTGTGCTAAGCTTTGGTCAGATCACCTCGTCACTCCCCCCTGCATTTTGAAGGGAATGAAAGATTACATAACCTTCAGAAGCAGCTTCCCAACTCAGTACTTTAATTTTGTATGTCACAGCTGGCGGATACAGATGCCGGCATGACTACCTCCAAGTGTGGCAGGGCAACATCACTACAGAATACTCCTTCACCTGGTGGCTTCGCAGAAATCAGCGAGGCCTGGGAAAATTCTGTGGCAGCACCAGGCCTGATCAGGTGGTGGCTGTGGGCCAAATGTCCCTTCAGTTCCGCTCAGATCAGTCTGTCCAGTACAAAGGTTTCCGTGCACAGTATTATTCTGAAGGTAAGGTCATTGACCGGTGCCCAATGTTGTTTACCTTAGGGGCCTTAAAGATCTACTTGTTTAACTTACTCCTTTGAAAAGTTGTAATTATTTGCTCCTTAACTCTTTGAGTCCCAGGGGGTTTTGTACCAGAGGCCCAAGAGGGAGGGGGGGGGGGGGGGGGGGGGGGGTAATATGATTTTGACTTTTAACAAATGCAGCACTTTAAAACAAACCTCACAACTGCAGCTGATGTCCAACATACACATATCATACATAAAATTAAACATAAATGGATAAGGATTAATATTAGCATACTGCTACTACAAACGATTATACTGTTAGTTAGTTTTTAGTAGAGAAAACAGTGACTTAGTTTGACAGGTGAGTAAATTATGAACAAGTTTTTTTCCACTTACCCAGAAGCTGATCCCAAAATTCTTGAATTCCTCACATAGAAAAAACTGTAAAGGCACTGTAAACATGTCAACCTGTTCATAGATATATATCTATGGTTTTAGATTATATGGATAGTAGTACTAGAAGCGCTGACATTTGGACTAGCTGGTGTCACGTTACGAGGTGCTTCTCTTGTGTTGCCGTGGCACAATTAGTCAGTTTTGTCCTCTTAGCAGGAGGTAAATTACGCACACATCCTCATCAAAACCTGACTCGTCAACGGTTTGGGGAAATTTCACATCGCTACTATCATTATCCAACTCCACATTACTTTAATCGATCCACTGTTTTATCAAATTTGATGATTCTAAAGCAGTAAATCACTTTGATAGGCGTGAAGACAATGCCTGATCGGACATATTGTTTTCAGACAATTGTTTGGTAACGTAGTAGACCACACAAATATCCATTTAAAGCGTTAAAAACTCACCAGACCCAAACAAATACACTCCACGTGTGTTCACTACACACTTGAGAACTGGAAAGGAAGTTTAAATTGAGCGGTTCGCGTGTAATTACCGATAAGTGGTAAATTAAAAACCGTCACACGTCATGCGCTGTTTGGGCCGCGAAGTAGTAACAAATCAGCACGTGATGCGTTCCTTGGGACTCAAAGAGTTAAAACAAAAAAACAAAGTTGCCTATCTCTTTTAGTCCCAAGGAATGCATCATACTTCCAAGGGTTCCTACCTAGAAGCCTGGTGAAGACAAATTGTGCTGATTTTACGCCTGTCTCTCTGTACGACCCCTTGTCCTTTGATGATAAACCCTTGAGACTGAAAGAGTTAAAAAGGCTTGAATGGGCTTTAAAAAAAAGCTTTTTAAATTCCTTAGGACAAATTTTGCTTGTAAAGGTACCTTTTCCACGCTTTAAGGCGTATAGGGCATATATGGCTAGACCTATGTTTTTATAGACCAATCGGCACAAGATGGGTGATGCGGTCAGCATCACACCAGCTGCCTTTACTTCCCAGGACTGCACCCAGTACCACTTAAGGCTGGGTCAACATGGGAGTCAAGGTCATTTTTTAAACAAAAGTTGGGCTCCACCAAGGAGCACCCCACGACATACCGATCCGCACATGAGCATCTAGCCCTACACCACAGCGACTGCCAAATCTGCTTGTCTCTATGATCAATGATGAACAATGTGTTCAGTCTAGTATGAAATAACTTTGTCCCAGGTCCAGTATATAATTTAAATGTGCTAGGTCCAGTATATAATCTACATGTGCTAGGTCCAGTATATAATCTACATGTGCAAGGTCCAGTATATAATCTACATGTGCTAGGTCCAGTATATAATCTGTGTGTGCTAGGTCCAGTATATAATCTATATGTGCTAGGTCCAGTATATAATCTATATGTGCTAGGTCCAGTATATAATCTATATGTGCTAGGTCCAGTATATAATCTATATGTGCTAGGTCCAGTATATAATCTACATGTGCAAGGTCCAGTATATAGTCTGTGTGTGCTAGGTCCAGTATATAATCTATATGTGCTGGGTCCAGTATATAATCTTTATGTGCTAGGTCCAGTATATAATCTATATGTGCTAGGTCCAGTATATAGTCTACATCAACCTGGGAGTCAAAGTCATTTTTTAAACAAAAATCCGGCTCCACCAAGGAGCACCCCACGACCTTCTGATCCGCACACGAGCATCTAGCCAAAGACTCCTAAATCTGCTTGTCTCTATGGTAAATGATGAACAATGTGCTCAGTCTAGTATGAAATAAACTTTGTCCCAGGTCCAATAAAATAATCTTCATGTGCTAGGTCCAGTATATAATCTATATGTGCTAGGTCCAGTATATAATCTACATGTGCTAGGTCCAGTATATAGTCTACCTGTGCTAGGTCTAGTTTATAATCTATGTGTCCTAGGTCTTGAACATAATGAACATTTTGTTCATTCCATATAATATAGATTTTCATGGTGTATAGTGTGAGACTGCAAACTATGACTACTTATGTAAATCAGCATGGTGGTTGATTATGATTTCCACAACTTCTTCCACAGAGTGTGGCGGAGTGTTCACTGATGATGCTGGTTCAATTTCCACTCCCCACCATCCCAGCAACTACCAGAACAACATGAACTGCTCCTGGAACATCACAGTCAGGCCAGATAGGATCATCAGGTTCAAGTGAGTACGTCCCTCTGGGAGTTTCGGGTCTTCTCTGAGAAAACAAAGAATAGATCCACAGCTTCCTGACAAGCATATCATAGCAGGAGTGGGAGGAAAGGGGGAGGGGGGTGGGAGGGGGGGGGGCTAATTAAGGATTTTCTCTTCAAAGTCAAAGTAAATATGTTTAAGAGGCAAGGAACCAACAGTCTGCATACAAAAAAACCATATCTGTAAAATGGTTATGTACACAAAACACAAGCATACTTTGGATCTTTTCGCCAGGCTATGCCACCAGCGTAGTGGGTAATGAACAAGCAGACAGATTGGCTGGATCAGCACCACTGGGTGGTGAATTGATACATGGCAGGGTAGATGTGGTCAAGGCTCTTTGGGAACAAGCCGCAGAATCAGTAGAGAAAGAAGATTATTATGGCCTTGAGAGAATGAGGCACTTTGGTGTAACCAGAGGGTCTGACTGGCTGACTACACTCAGAGGAAAGGCGAGACAGACTTTTAACCAGATTGTGATCGGTACCATCAGCATTGGAACTCTGAGCTGGCTGCTGAAGATTAGGACGGAGCATGCATGAGAATGCCCCGGGTTCTGTGATGTCAATTTTCAACATGTGTAACATCGAACACAAAGGTCAGGTATACCATTTAACACTGCTGGTTTAGGTTATAATACTGGCCAGTGATAAATTAAAAACCTTCACTCGTCACACGCCGACTGGACTGCTAGGTTATAACTGATTAGCCCACGATGTGTTCTTTGGGATTCAAAGGGTTAATAGTGTGTTATTTGATATCCAAATAGCCAATTCAAATGAAAGCATATTTTCTTTTGCTTGCCAGATTCAATACCTTCAACATCGAGGTCCATCAACAATGTGTGTTTGACCATGTGACCTTCTATGACGGACCAGACACAACTGCCAGAAGCATTGGTCGATACTGTGGAACCCTACAGAACATTCCAGAGTATATTCAAAGCTCAGGAAACCAGCTGTACATTAATTTTGTCACTGATTTTTCATACACTTCGGATGGATTTTCAGGATATTACTGGGCCACTTATGGTAAATGTTGATTTCTTTATTGTGTGGTATATTTTTTAGAATGTGCTTAGGGAAATGTCAGAGATTTCTGTCCCTACTTCTAGTTCAAAATTTTTTATGTTGAAAAATATGTGACTTATCGATGAACATGTCAGTGTGCTATTCACTGAACCACCAAAGCTTCTGTTTTTGGTTAGCACAACTAGTCAGAGAAGGTGAAGAACAACCATTCAGAAAAGCTGAATTACAACCATTCAGAGAAGCTGATGCACAACCATTCAGAGAAGCTGATGCACAACCAGAGAAGTTGAAGCACAACTATTCAGAGAAGTTTAAGCACAACCATTCAGAGAAGTTGAAGCACAACTATTCAGAGAAGTTAAAGCATCACCAGTCAAGAAATTGAGGCATGACCAGTCAGAGAAGTTGAAGCATGACCAGTTAAAGAAGCTGAAGCATGACCAGTTAAAGAAGTTGAAGCATGACCAGTTAAAGAAGTTGAAGCATGACCAGTTAAAGAAGTTGAAGCATGACCAGTCAAGAAGCTGAAGCATGACCAGTTAAAGAAGTTGAAGCATGACCAGTTAAAGAAGCTGAAGCATGACCAGTTAAAGAAGCTGAAGCATGACCAGTTAAAGAAGTTGAAGCATGACCAGTTAAAGAAGTTGAAGCATGACCAGTTAAAGAAGCTGAAGCATGACCAGTTAAAGAAGTTGAAGCATGACCAGTTAAAGAAGTTGAAGCATGACCAGTTAAAGAAGTTGAAGCATGACCAGTTAAAGAAGTTGAAGCATGACCAGTTAAAGAAGTTGAAGCATGACCAGTTAAAGAAGTTGAAGCATGACCAGTTAAAGAAGTTGAAGCATGACCAGTTAAAGAAGTTGAAGCATGACCAGTTAAAGAAGTTGAAGCATGACCAGTTAAAGAAGCTGAAGCATGACCAGTTAAAGAAGTTGAAGCATGACCAGTTAAAGAAGTTGAAGCATGACCAGTTAAAGAAGTTGAAGCATGACCAGTCAAGAAGTTGAAGCATGACCAGTTAAAGAAGTTGAAGCATGACCAGTTAAAGAAGCTGAAGCATGACCAGTTAAAGAAGCTGAAGCATGACCAGTTAAAGAAGCTGAAGCATGACCAGTTAAAGAAGCTGAAGCATGACCAGTTAAAGAAGCTGAAGCATGACCAGTTAAAGAAGTTGAAGCATGACCAGTTAAAGAAGCTGAAGCATTACCAGTTAAAGAAGCTGAAGCATGACCAGTTAAAGAAGCTGAAGCATGACCAGTTAAAGAAGTTGAAGCATGACCAGTCAAGAAGCTGAAGCATGACCAGTCAAGAAGTTGAAGCATGACCAGTTAAAGAAGCTGAAGCATGACCAATCAGAGAAGTTGAAGCACAACCATTCAGAGAAGTTGAAGCGCAACCATTTAGAGAAGTTGAAGCATCACCAGTCAAGAAGTTGATGCATCACCAGTCAAGAAGTTAAAGCATCACCAGTCAAGAAGTTGAAGCATCACCAGTCAAGAAGCTGAAGCATGACCAGTTAAAGAAGTTGAAGCATCACCAGTCAAGAAGCTGAAGCATGACCAGTTAAAGAAGTTGAAGCATGACCAGTCAGAGAAGTTGAAGCATCACCAGTCAAGAAGTTGAAGCATCACCAGTCAAGAAGTTGAAGCATCACCAGTTAAAGAAGCTGAAGCACAACGAGTCAGAGAAGTTGGAGCACCACCAGTTAAAGAAGCTGAAGCATGACCAGTTAAAGAAGTTGAAGCATCACCAGTCAAGAAGCGGAAGCATGACCAGTTAAAGAAATTGAAGCATCACCAGTCAAGAAGCGGAAGCATGACCAGTTAAAGAAGTTGAAGCATCACCAGTCAAGAAGTGGAAGCATGACCAGTTAAAGAAGTTGAAGCATCACCAGTTAAAGAAGCTGAAGCACAACAAGTCAGAGAAGTTGGAGCACCATCAGCTAGAGACGTTGACCAGAGGACTTAAAGAGAACACTGCAATCTCCATAGCCACATGTACATAGAGCTAAAGATATAATGTATAGCACTGTGTATGTCAAATAGCTCAGATTGCAGAACATAAACAGCATTGTATTTACCCTACCAGATTTTAGGCCCTGAGCCTTCCTGCCACCTATACCTGAGCTCCTGGGTCTCAACACAAAAAACCAACATGATATAAAAAATATTAGTTACATGCAAACACGTGGTGAGAATTAGATTAAAGTTAAAGACATTGTAGAAAAAAGGTTTCCCTTTCATCTAGCGCTAATATTCCACCTTTGTGTGCCATTTCACACTGCAAGATCGGCCTTGTTTCACAAAGTGAACACCAGATATTGCTGTTTGAGGGACATGCCCCTTTCTCTTGCTGTTGATCTTGTTTTAAATCTATAATTTTCAAGATTCTCCTCATCACTCAAGCTCTCACTGACTGTGTCACTTCAACTAGGAACATATTCTTCATGAAATTCTGACTCCTCAGAGTCTAAATCAACAAAAGTATCGATGGACTGTGAAAAGCCTAGACCTACTTCACTTTCCTGTCAAAGCGCCTGTTTCACCAGCCACTCTTTAGTGGGGTGGTGATTTAAGTCACAGGCGTGAGGTAAAGTTAAGCCCAATGGGATGTCTATAAGGAGTTACTCAGTACGTCATTCGGGCGCCAGTCCTGCACTGTTCCGGTTTTACGGAACCTCATGCAAGACTCCTGCAGCATGTCCTCATCGTGCGCCATGGATAATGTCTCAAATGAGCATTAACAGAGCTGTCAGGGGATCTCGAAGTTGTCGGCCCCCAGAGGTGTAGTATCCTTGTGGCTCTCACCAGCCCGCCCCCAAACGCATGGGTGAAAAACTTATCAAAACTCATTAGAAACATGAGTAAAGTGCTTGCCAAATGTACAACTAAAATGACAACATTCGGTTAAAAGTTTGTGGGGTGAAGAGAACATTGCGTTGCTGAGACTCAACCCCTGACCTAGAGATTTACCCACAGCACAGAGGAGTAAGATCTCCTGTGGGTGGCGTCTCGCAGCTAGATTCTACCCATGTACATCCTCTGTCAACCCTCAGTGTCGTCGCCACCGTGCTGAGATGCACCATGACAGCAACCATCCTTCGGCCAGTTAAGCCCAAATGTCTGACAAAAATTGATCCTACTGCACACGAGCAAGCCCAAAATTCGACCAGTCATAAATCGTATTGACTGAAAAAGTCCATTAATCCACATCCCAAGACCCCACTCGCCCGAGTGTTGAGACTAAACAGATAAAGACATGCCTGACGCAGGTTTCTCCATTCTGTCGTGCTAACAGCACGCTAAAGATAACAATCGTGCAAAAAAAAAGATAGTACCTATTTGTGTGGTCACAAAAGTCCAGAACCCACGGACTGCTTCCCGCTGATCTCCAGAGGGCGCAGCCCATGTTGAGCGGGAAGCCTAATATGGTTGTGAGGCTAAGCAGTCATGTGCAGGACTTGACAATTCCTTGGATGAGCCCAGAACCAGAGCGTTATGTCCCAGCTCTGCATTTTTGGAAGCCTCCTTAGATGGCGGGAAATGCCCATGATCTGCCCCTGCCTTCCCTTGAGGGCCAACTGTTCCACACAGGGCTGTCCCAAATGGAGTACTTCAGGGGCAACACCTGTGGAGAAAGGGACAAAGAGGACACCACACAAATAAGGTCACATCTCGACCCACACAAAAAAATTGCCACAGTCATCCTAGAAATAGGCCTGACGTCTTCCCTCGAAGTCGGAGTACATCTGCCCGTGAGGCAGGGAACGGCAAAAGCCAGTAAAACGGTTGTACACGCAAAACTCAGGTCCAGGTAAAAGCCAAAAGTCCAAGCATACGATTATCCGGGACCTTCCGCCAGAATTCACAGCCGTTGAACGAAGAAGAAGAAGATCAGCCACTCGTTTCATCAGCCACTCGTTTCATTGTGAATTTTCAGAATTTTTTTTCATTAAACCAAACAAAGTAAATCCAAACACATGACTAACCACGATGTCTGACCACAACTGGCTAGTTATTTTTAGTTTGTAATGCATTGTTTTCACATAGTGGGCAAAGTACTGACAATGAGGGACGCTGGCTTAGCGTCAGATTAGGAAATTACCGTAATAGCGGAACATCAGTCTGGTAGGGTTAAATATAGCTATGGAAGATGTATCCTATCAAAACATGAAACAATCTTACAGGCAGACACCAAATTATGGAAGCCAGAAGCATCAAAAGACAATTGTGCAGTTTATGTTGAATACAAAAATTACAGCCACTGGAAATTCCAAGAGAGAGAGAGAGAGAGAGAGAGAGAGAGAGAGAGAGAGAGAGAGAGAGAGAGAGAGAGAGAGAGAGAGAGAGAGAGAGAGAGAGAGAGAGAGAGAGAGAGAGATATGCACACACCATACAAACACCCCATACACATACATACACACCACACAAACACCCCATACACACACAACACACACACTTACCACACACACCCCACCCACCCACCTATATGCACACACACACATACATGCATGCTCACATGCACTCATAATGCACATGCACACACACGTACGCGCTCACACACACACTTTAAAAAAAAAAGATTATGAAAAAATTGTCCCAAAAATTGTAAGTTTAAAAAAAAATATAACTGAAAAAAATGTCAGTGATTTAATGATCTGATGCTTACATCTAGGTCCGGCACAGGGTTGTGGTGGAGTTCTACGGCAGTCTAATGGAACTATCACATCACTGGATGCAGACGGAAACGGTTTATATGAGGACAGTTTGGACTGTGAATGGTTGATATTTGTTGGTAAGAAATTTTTTTTTTACTTGCTGCATCTGATTGTCTTCTTTTCTATTGAAACCTTCTTCTTCTTCCTGTTTGTCCTTTGAAGGGTGCTTTTCATCATGTGTTATTGCAGTTGATTTCCTTGCACTTTGGCAATTCTCATGTGAGTGAGTCTATCCTGGCAGTGAGTCTATCCTGGCAGTGAGTCTATCCTGGCAGTGAGTCTATCCTGGCAGTGAGTCTATCCTGGCAGTGAGTCTATCCTGGCAGTGAGTCTATCCTGGCAGTGAGTCTATCCTGGCAGTGAGTCTATCCTGACAGTGAGTCTATCCTGGCAGTGAGTCTATCCTGACAGTGAATGAATCTATCCTGGCAGTGAGTCTATCCTGGCAGTGAGTCTATCCTGGCAGTGCATCTATACTGGTAGTGAGTCTATCCTGGTAGTGCATCTATCCTGGTAGTGCATCTATCCTGGTAGTGCATCTATCCTGGTAGTGCATCTATCCTGGTAGTGAGTCTATCCTGGCAGTGCATCTATCCTGGTAGTGAGTCTATCCTGGCAGTGCATCTATCCTGGTAGTGAGTCTATCCTGGCAGTGCATCTATCCTGGCAGTGAGTCTATCCTGGCAGTGCATCTATCCTGGTAGTGAGTCTATCCTGGTAGTGCATCTATCCTGGTAGTGCATCTATCCTGGTAGTGCATCTATCCTGGTAGTGCATCTATCCTGGTAGTGAGTCTATCCTGGCAGTCATCTATCCTGGTAGTGAGTCTATCCTGGCAGTGCATCTATCCTGGTAGTGAGTCTATCCTGCTAGTGAGTCTATCCTGCTAGTGAGTCTATCCTGGCAGTGAGTCTATCCTGGCAGTGAGTGCATCTATCCTGGCAGAGAGTCTATCCTGGCAGTGAGTCTATCCTGGCAGTGAGTCTATCCTGGCAGTGAGTCTATCCTGGCAGTGAGTCTATCCTGACAGAGAGTCTATCCTGGCAGTGAGTACATCTATCCTAATTGTGAGTCTATCCTGGCAGTGAGTGCATCTATCTTGGCAGTGAGTCTATCCTGGCAGTGAGTGCATCTATCCTGGCAGAGAGTCTATCCTGGCAGTGAGTCTATCCTGGCAGTGAGTCTATCCTGGCAGTGAATGCATCTATCCTGGCAGTGAGTCTATCCTGGCAGTGAGTCTATCCTGGCAGTGAGTCTATCCTGGCAGTACATCTATCCTGGCAGAGAGTCTAACCTGGCAGTGCATCTATCCTGGTAGTGAGTCTATCCTGGCAGTTAGTCTATCCTGGCAGTGAGTCTATCCTGGCAGTGCATCTACCCTGGCAGAGAGTCTATCCTGGTAGTGCATCTATCTTGGTAGTGAGACTATCCTGGTAGTGCATCTATCCTGGTAGTGAGTCTATCCTGGTAGTGCATCTATCCTGGTAGTGAGTCTATCCTGGTACTGCATCTATCCTGGTAGTGAGTCTATCCTGGCAGTGCATCTATCCTGGTAGTGAGTCTATCCTGGTAGTGAGTCTATCCTGGTAGTGAGTCTATCCTGGTAGTGAGTCTATCCTGGCAGTACGTCTATCCTGGTAGTGAGTCTATCCTGGTAGTGAGTCTATCCTGACAGTAAGTCTATCCTGGCAGTGAGTCTATCCTGGCAGTAAGTCTATCCTGACAGTGAGTCTATCCTGACAGTGAGTCTATCCTGACAGTGAGTTTATCCTGGCAGTGAGTCTATCCTGGCAGTGAGTCTATCCTGGTAGTGAGTCTATCCTGACAGTGAGTGCATCTATCCTGGCAGTGAGTCTATCCTGACAGTGAGTCTATCCTGGCAGTGAGTTTATCCTGGCAGTGAGTCTATCCTGGCAGTGAGTGCATCTATCCTGGCAGTGAGTCTATCCTGGCAGTGAGTCTATCCTGGCAGTGAATCTATCCTGACAGTAAGTCTCTCCTGGCAGTGAGTCTATGCTGGCAGTGAATCTATCCTGACAGTAAGTCTCTCCTGGCAGTGAGTCTATCCTGACAGTGAGTCTATGCTGGCAGTGAGTCTATCCTGACAGTGAGTCTATCCTGACAGTGAGTCTATCCTGACATTGAGTCTATCCTGGCAGTGAGTCTATCCTGACAGTGAGTCTATCCTGGCAGTGAGTCTATCCTGACAGTGAGTGCATCTATCCTGGCAGTGAGTCTATCCTGGCAGTGAGTATATCCTGGCAGTGAGTCTATCCTGACAGTGAGTCTATCCTGGCAGTGAATCTATCCTGGCAGTGAGTCTATCCTGACAGTCAGTCTATCCTGGCAGTGAGTCTATCCTGACAGTGAGTCTATCCTGGCAGTGAGTCTTTCCTCCATGATCTGTTGTCTGTGTTATCATGCTCAGTCTACAAAGGTTCAGGTCGCTGGGTGACACCTGGAGAATGGAGGATGGCAGAGACCGTACAAAGGTTCAGGTGGCTGGGTCACACCTGGAGAATGGAGAATGGCAGAGACACTACAAAGGTTCAGGTGGCTGGGTCACACCTGGAGAATGGAGAATGGCAGAGACACTACAAAGGTTCAGGTGGCTGGGTCACACCTGGAGAATGGAAGATGGCAGAGACCCTACAAAGGTTCAGGTGGCTGGGTCACACCTGGAGAATGGAAGATGGCAGAGACCTTACAAAGGTTCAGGTGCCTGTGTCGCACCTGGAGAATGGAAGATGACAGAGACTCTACAAAGGTTCAGGTGGCTGGGTCGCATCTGGAGAGTGGAAGATGACAGAGACTTTACAAAAGCGCAGATGGCTTGGTCACACCTGGAGAATGGAGGATGGCAGAGACCCTACAAAGGTTTAGGTGGCTGGGTCACACCTGGAGAATGGAGAATGGCAGAGACCCTACAAAGGTTCAGGTGGCTGGGTCACACCTGGAGAATGGAGAATGGCAGAGACCCTACAAAGGTTCAGGTGGCTGGGTCACACCTGGAGAATGGAAGATGGCAGAGACACTACAAAGGTTCAGGTGGCTGGGTCACACCTGGAGAATGGAGAATGGCAGAGACACTACAAAGGTTCAGGTGGCTGGGTCACACCTGGAGAATGGAAGATGGCAGAGACCCTACAAAGGTTCAGGTGGCTGGGTCACACCTGGAGAATGGAAGATGGCAGAGACCTTACAAAGGTTCAGGTGGCTGGGTCGCACCTGGAGAATGGAAGATGACAGAGACCCTACAAAGGTTCAGGTGGCTGGGTCGCATCTGGAGAGTGGAAGATGATAGAGACTTTACAAAAGCGCAGATGGCTTGGTCACACCTGGAGAATGGAGGATGGCAGAGACCCTACAAAGGTTTAGGTGGCTGGGTCACACCTGGAGAATGGAGGTTGGCAGTCCCTAAGGACAACCGATATGGTGAATTACGGATGGGTAGATGATGTAGAGGCTGACCTCTATTGCAATATAAAGGCGTATGCAAGAGGGACATTAAAGATACAGGTATTGAGGTGGACTAGTGGGAACAAAATGCCATAGACCGTGTTGTGCGGAGGGAGCACACCAGGAAGGGAATGAGAATGAAGGAAGAAATTATTGCAAAAAGGATGAAAGCTGAGCATTTGAGAAGAAAGACACAAAATACAAACTATGGCAAGAACAATCCAGAACTGTGGATGACTTTCTTCATGCGGGCGGGTCTTGCTAGTCACACTCACCATCGCCATGGGTTATGAACCCCATGCCTCCAAATAGAATAATGTAACACTGTTGTCTGGAAAGACAGAAAAGTGCCAACAATTGTCGGGCTGTCTGGAATTATTTGTCTAGATTGCCATCTTAAATGCCTTTCAACTTTATTGTTATTATAGCAATTATCAATTTAGACATTTTATGTTGCTTTCAAGAATAGAAATCAAATAAAATTAGTTGCAAAATAATTACCAATAAACTATAAAGATTCATTAACTGGTATCCGTGCAGAATAGATGGAATTATGGGGTTTAATAGAATCACTTATGTTGAGCTTTGGGAGAGAATTTAACAAGTTCTAGTGGACCAAGAGGTGAAGAAAAGACAATGGTACTGGATAGGACACACATTGAGAAAACCGGAGAAAGGCATTGAGCTGGAACCCACAAGGGTATACAAATAAAGGTGGACCCAAACAACACATGAAGAAGGAAACTAGAGAGTGACATTAAAAAGATGGGGGGGGGGAGGGGGATATGGGGTGGGCTGCATTATTTTGCACATGTTATCTGCCAGATTTTTATCTCAAAGATATACATTATTACATTTATTTGTTTCCAGGTGATAATAAAGTTGTCAATCTAACAATAACAAATTTTACCCTGGAGTCAGGACACACTGAATGTGAATATGATTATCTTAGCGTAAGTATAACAAATCTCTGATTCTTCATCTTTGTGTTCACGGGCTATTGTCTCTGATGGAAAGTTCTGGTTGTTTATCCGGTTCAGGACTTTAGTCTTGTTTCACAACTTGAGCTTTGCCTGCACATCCATTTTTACAGATCTTGCCTTTCAAGCAGATGATCTCCAGTTACCAACGACAACCCTAATTAGTCAACTCTTATGACATGCTTGTTAGGGAGGCAGTGGGACCCAGAACCCACATAGGAAATAGAAAATCTGAAAATCTTGCAATATAATGTGGCTGAATGGTTAAGCTGCTTGCCTCACAGTCTGATGATCATAGGTTTGTTTCACAAATGGATCCTTCGATTCACAAATGAAGTTATACAGAGATCCTTGGTGATCATCCCTGGAGTTATAGTGTTTGTGCTTTATGTGCTGCAGAAGGTAAGCTACTTTACAGAAAGAGGTTGTCTCCTCTGAGATAAAGCATGGTGCAAAGAAGGTGATCCTCAGTTTTAAACCCCTTAAATCCTTATCATCATGGGTCTTGCCAAGTGGTGGATGAAAATGTCTCTCCCCAGTCCTCAAGAATCGCCTCATGCTGTCTTAATCCATCACTTTTTTTCATAGATATTTCCAGTGGTAACATGTTCAAGTTTCCTTCTTCTCATAACATGACAAAAAATGATGACTGTATCCATCTGATGTTTTTGATAATATGTTTTTTAAGCCCTCGGCTCTGTCATGGGTTCTGGAGTGCACTAGAGACACCTCTTGCATAGCAGTGAGATACCCTCTTGACTTCTCTACCATGAACTATAGGATCAAGTGCTGGAAGGCTCATGCAAACCTCAAAATAAGCTCAGATCTGAAGCACCCTTTGCACCACATGCTCTTCAGGAAAAAGCGTAGTAGACTAAAAAGGGGCCTATCTTGGCTGGGCTAGGCAGAGGATGACATCAAACAGGTCTGCAGCCTTACAGATATCCATCCTGATGAGGAATGGAAATCAGCATTGAAAGTGTCCAATCTCACATTCTCCTGTGTTGTCACACTTGATAGGAATTGTCAGGAGCAGAATCCTGTTGCTGTCAACACTGAGGTCTGCACTCTTATCAGTGACAAGTCAGAGGAGACAAATGTGCTATCTTCACAGACGGATCCGTTATATCAGTACATAAGAGTCCATGGGCAATTACAGCTCACTTTTCAGGCAGAACAGTCCAAGAAGCCAGCGGTGCCTTCTTCATGACTACCAGCAGCATGACAATGGAGGTGATGGCGATGACAGAAGCTTTCATGTGGCTAGAATCACAGGACTATTCCTGTGTTTGTGTGTGTGCTGAGTGATTCTTTGAGCATGATCCGGTGGGTCGAGACAGGCTGGTTATGCAGACAGTGGTTTCAGTAATTGCAAAACTCTCCTGTGTGTGCAGTTACCTTCATATTTGTCCCAGGTTATGCAGGTGTTGTTGGTAATGAAAAAGCTGATAGACTGGCAGGTGCCACATTAATTGCAGATGGCCGGCCCATGTAGTGTGCAGACATTGTCTCTTTCTTCTTCTTCCACTCTTTATGAATTAAAAAGGCCTAGGTCTGAATAATGACATTTTCAGGTTAAACAGGAATTGGGAGAGTTCATGTCTGACTATCTGGTCTATTTAAAACAAGTCTAATTTTTCACCACCTACTCTTGCAGCTGTTTGTTTATGTACATAGAAAAAAAAATGGTGTTTTTCTAAGAATATTGACCATGTTTTCATTATAATAACTATTTTGACATAAGAATTACAAGGTAGTTGTTATATGGCTACAGTGAAAGCCTTTATCACCATTCTCATCATCATCATCATCATCATCATCATCATCATCATCATCATCAAGTGCCTTGCCAGCTGGCATAGGCATTCATGCCTATCCACAGATCTCAGTCTTTGGTGTTCTGGATCACTTCCACTGAGGATATTTCTCCCTGCCACTGTCTTAAGCTATCCATGAGCTTTTCTCTTGGTCTGCCTCTGCCTCATCTACCAGTTATCGTTCCAGTCATCATGATATTTTCCAGCACTCTTTTTCTCATCACTTGACTAAAGAACCTCAGTTGTCTCCATCTTATTGCTGTATAGAATGTTCCACCTTCATCAGCCATTACCAGGCAATCAGTTGTTAGTAATTCTGACAGTTCAAGGTATTCATAACATTCTTCTCAAGAACCACACCTCAGTTGAATCCAAACTCTTTTTAATTGTTCATGCTAGAATAAAAATGAAGAATCTGTAATCTCTACAAAACCATTTCTTTCCTAGATTTACGATGGCATGACAAAGGATGACCACTTGCTGGGAAAATTATGTGGCAGTGATCTCCCACAGTTTCCCATCCTGGCATCATCGAATGTAATGCTTATTATCTTCCACACAGACTCCAGTATCAGTTTTGCTGGATTCCAGGCCAATTTCACTGAAGCCAATGGTTTGTATTTTATCATTATCTTGTTACTTTTCCTTGTAGTGATTTTGTAATAACTTAAATTATTTTCTGCCTGTGCTACCATCTTTAAACATTTACGTTTATCAAAGCAATGTTTCCCCATTGTAAATGTGAACAAAGAAGACACAAACAGCAGATTGCACAATTTATTGCCTGGCATATTTCGTTTTATCTCGTCAGGTGCAATTCAAAATTACCTTTACATTTACTAGTTGTGTTTTCATATCTTTACCAGGATGTAATTTTCTTTTTCTTCTGCTGCTGCTTCTTCTCCTCCTCCTTCTTCTCCTTCTCTTTTCCTCCTCCCTTTTCATTTATTCATTCATTCACTATCCTGTTGTGTTGAACTCCTTTGCTCCAATGATGATCCCCAGGGTGTGTATGTGACATGAAGTCATGACTTTCAGAATGCGAGGCCACTTCATCACAGAAACCACTGTATAAAGTTAGGTCATGTGATATCAGCAGCTCAAATACCCCTTCTTCTTCCTCTTATTTGTGTTCACTGTCTGTAAACTTTTCTGTGAAGTTCTGGTTGTTTGTCCACTTCTGGACTTAACTCTTGTTCCAGAACTTGAACATTGTGTTGCAAATCTGACTTATTTGTAAGCAGACTGTTGGTTCCTCGCCTCTCAGACAAAAACACCCAGACCTTGAAGGAAACACCCCTAGTTAGACACCTCTAATGTCAAGCTTGTAATGATAGCAGTGGATCTCTTCATTTATTTCCCCTCCAAAAACACCCAGACCTTAAAGGAAACACCCCTAGTTAGACACCTCTAATGTCGAGCTTGTAATGGTGGCAGTGGATCTCTTCATTTATTTCCCCTCCAAAAACACCCAGACCTTAAAGGAAACACCCCTAGTTAGACACCTCTAATGTCAAGCTTGTAATGGTGGCAGTGGATCTCTTCATTTATTTCCCCTTCAAAAACACCCAGACCTTAAAGGAAACACCCCTAGTTAGACACCTCTAATGTCGAGCTTGTAATGGTGGCAGTGGATCTCTTCATTTATTTCCCCTCCAAAAACATCCAGACCTTGAAGGAAACACCCCTAGTTAGACACCTTTAATGTCGAGCTTGTAATGGTGGCAGTGGGTCTCTTCATTTATTTCCCCTAAAAAAACCATCATAAGCATGGCCAGATACATATTCACAGAGTCTGTAGACAATCAGAGAGTAGTAGCCTATAATCCTAACTGGCAGGAATTATGGAATCAAATAACTCACAATTCCTTGTTGTTTCCACTGACAGCTTTTTGTGGTGGAGCTTACAACGCTACCAGCACACCTCAAACTCTCACCTCCCCAAATTACCCCAATGCCACCGGAATGGCCGTCAGCTGTTCATGGATCATTGATTCTGGAGATGCTAATCAGCAAGTGAGACTTCAAGTCACAGATTTACATCTGGAGACATCTCCTAGATGCCAGCATGAATATTTAAGTTTCAGGGATCATCCAGTGGTAAGTGATTGTTTTTGTTTTTCTATTTTTAAGACATTTATGTTGTAGCAGACGATTAGAGACTGAAACCACTTTGGAATGCCCATTTTTACCAAGCAGCCAACAATGTGACCTGACCTTCGGCCTAAGCATACTACAGGAACCTGGCTAATTGTTCTAATGCCCTAACTAGGCATATTTGCTGCTACACCCATGACAATTAGGTTAACTGCATTTTATATTCACTGTGGCTATGGTTACCCTTGAGAATATCCTGCAAAGTATTCCAGTATTTAAAGAGTTAAACGGTGGGGGAGGGGGGGGGGGGTGTGAGGTTGTGGCCACTACAGAAGCTAGATTTTGATTTTAGAATGCTCTGGCCAAATGTAAAAAGTTAAAGAATCCATTACTTTAATTAATTAATTACTCAAGAATTGTCTATCTTCTCCTTGGGTGCTTTCTTGCTCTCACATTAAAGCTGTTTTTTTTTTTTTTTTTTTTGACATATAAACCCTTTCTTCTGATGACCTAGAACACAATAATGCCAAAAACCTGTATTTGGGGGGTGGGGAAGGGGGGGGGGGGGGGGGGGTTCCTGTTTCCCCCAAAAATGTTCCTTTAAACAAACTATTTTACACAAAATCATAACAGTTCCATTTATGGTCTAAAACAATATTTAACTGCATATAAAGTAACAGCAGTGTTCAATAAACAATGCTGCAGACAATTGAAAGATTTACATCTCTCTGAGATGTAAAAATATTATACAAAATATGTTTAACATGACCAATTCTTGACTCTTTGACCTAGCCATCAGTTCCCACTGTAACTGTCTAGAAATTATGGTGTCCTAATTTCTATAAATAAAGCCATTTCCACATAGAAACCCCGACTAGATGCTATTTTTAATTATCTTATAATCAAGCTGGCATTGCAATTTGATGCATTTTTCAGCCAGGTTCTGAACGGAGTTAGTTTCCGCCATCCTAGGATGGAAGTTGTGTTATACTAGTCTGAATGTGATAGTCTAGTTCAAATGTTTCTATAAAGTTTATTGAGGTTGTGATCGGTCTGTTTTTTCTGTAAAACTAACTCAGATGGTAGTCGGTACATGTTTTCTGTAAAGTTAACTGAGGTGGTGGTTGGTAAATGTTTCTATAAAGTTTATATGAAGTTTCCTATTTTTTGCAGGGCACAAATGGCCAGCAGAAATTTTACTGTGGCAATGTCATTCCTCCTCATCCATTTAATTCCAAAGGATTACGGGTGAAGATCATATACAACCTGGCAACAACATCAACCAGCCGAGGTTTCCAGCTGACCTATCAGATTGCAGGTATTGAACCACTTCACCACTCAACCACTGCATCACTCACCACTGAAACACTGCACTACTCACCACTGAACAACTCAACCACTGAACCATTGTACCACTTAAAGACTGTACCACTCAGCCATTGAAATACCCAATTACTTAATGATTCATCTATTAAACCACAGTGCCACTCAACCATTCAACCACTCAACCATCCAGTCACTGACTCACTCAGCCACTGAAACACTAAACTGTTGTTCTACCCAAGCACTTAACAACTCATCCACTAAACCGCTGTACTGCCCACCACTGAACCACTGTACCACGTAAAACCACCCAACCACTGAACCATTCATCTACTTAATCACTGTACCACTCAGTCATGTAGTTAAGGCTTTAAAACTTGTTTAATCTCTACACTTCCTTTTCCAATCTCCTTCTGATTTATTCTTCTGAGAGTCTCCTTGGTGAAGTGGTTAAACCAATTGCCTAACACTCTGAAGGCCATGGGTCTTCTCATGGACTGGGTCAGTGAGTGCCACATGGGTCTTCTCATGGACTGGGTCAGTGAGTGCACATGGGTCTTCTCATGGACTGGGTCAGTGAGTGCCAGTGCAAATATCGTGACCCCTGTGCATTCTTGCCTGGAGCAGATGCATATACTGTGCTCTGGGTGATGATATTGAAATAGTATCTGCAGACAGTGACTGAACTATATGGATAAACCTGTGCAGTTGTTCCTTGTGACTTTTGAACTTTCACCGCTGACTTCTGTTGAATAGTTACTGTTGTCATAATTCTTGCTAGAAAAATGAATTTCATTCAAGTATTTTTTATTGTAGTATTTTTCAGTATGTTATTTCTGCTCTCCACAGACTGCAATCAAAACATCAGCCTGCCAAACGGGCGTATCACCAGCCCTGGATTTCCTGGTGTATACCCACGTTACGCTAACTGCCTTGTCCGGGTAACCTCTCCTGAAAACACGACCTTGGCTTTGTACTTCAACAGTTTTTATATCGAAGAACATTCGAATTGCAACTTCGATTTTCTAGAGGTGTGTATCAGTAGAACCTCAAAGCAAATGATACTGCTGTTAAAAGTTTGTTTCTATAAATAAGATTTAAATTAAAACAAAATATTTTTGTTGTGAATTTAAATGATGAGGTTAAAGGTTAGTTGTGTATCCTTTACAGGACGTTGCTGAACCAACCCCAACAGCTCCTGGCTGTTGTGTGGTTTCTCTAGACAAATTTGCGTCCAGTAGTTTGCCATTGCTTTCTGGACGGTCGGCTTTCTTGATACCACTGTCAAAACCAACGCGAGGCACATGGCCCGCAGCTGGGATTGAACCTGTCAACCCGGCATTACGAAGCGTTTGCATCGACTTGGCCACAGAGCCGACAAATGATGAGGACACAAACAATATATTGCACAATTTAGTACCTAGGATATTTCCCAGGCTGAAGAGTATCTGGTTGAGTAGTTAGAATGTGGGGCTCTCATAAACCCTGTCACTCTGAGAAGCCACAAAACTGACTGCCAGCTGGATCCAGTCCCTTTGTAAATGTCACTTACCTGACTAACCTAAAGTCGCATGTTTTGAGATGCATAGTTAAAGCTGCTAGTTGAGTTCATGCTTGTGCAGCATTTAGGAGGTTAGGATGTTAGTATATTTACTAAAAATAGCATTTTCTTGTGAAGCAAAAAATTTTTAAAATCATTTGGACATCACATTTTTCCAAAAACCTCACTCATATAAGTCACAAGGGGATGGCATAAATCATCCAATTCATTTTTTTTAGACCATAGGGAATTAATTTTTTTAAATACTTCACTATGTTCATGTTTATTGATCCTTTTTTTAAAATAAAATATCTTTATATATTTCCACACACAGCAGTTTGAAAATTTGTATAAATGAATGTGAAAAGAAAAAAAAAAAGGATTGTTTTTAGGAATTCTCATGGCTTCTTGTCTTTTCTTGTTTTTTTAATTTTTAGGAGTGACATAATTTAGGAGAACAAGATTTAAATCCTCTGAAACAAGATGGAAGGTTACATGTTTGGGGTAACAATAAAATGCTAAACTGACAGTGTATGGCAGCTGAATTAGCCATGCACCTCTAAATCCTCAAGCTAAAAAATTGCTACCACTTCCCTGTCACATCTCATCAGCTGCCTTGCCGACTGGCATAGGCCTTCATGCCTCTCCACAATCTGTAATCCCCTGCAGCATGTATCAGTTCGTGTGCTGACACACCTCCATGTCATGCAACAAGACTGTCAAGAATCTTCTTTCATTGTCTTCCTCTGTCCCTCCTTCCATATATATTTCCAGTGGTCACAACATGTTCCATTTTCCCTCTTTTCATAACATAACCAAAATATGATGACAGTCTACTTCTGATGACTGTGATAAGTTGTCTTTGGGCTCCCGCCTCTTTCAAAGCCTCTTGGTTGCTCTTTTTGGCTGTCCAAGGTATTTTAAGCATTTGTCTGTAAACCACATCACTAAGGTCTCAAGAAAATGTTTGGGCTACCTACAGATTGTCAAGGACTCACAGCCATATGTTAAAACTGAATGTATGTCATCATTATGTAGCAGGTCCTTTGCAGAACGTCGCTCTCATCACGGTCTGCCTGAAAGTAACTCGGTCTCTCGCCAGCTCTCCTGTCTCGTGTACTTTCATACTCAACGAGTCACTTATATCCTGTGCCCATCTTTGTGTTGGTCAGCTCCTGCCCCTTCTTCCTGGTACCATTCTTCTGCCATAATTTTTTTTCCAATCCGTTGTGGCGATTGACATGACCAAAATATTTCAGCTTTCGAGGATGTATGTAGCAAGAAGTCATTCATTTTCTAACCTTCAATGACAGAGACATGAAAATAAATCAGGTGACAGTACACATCCTTGTCGTATGCCACTCTTTATGCACTGAAATTTACCTAAACAGTTGTTAATTCATATAGCTGCCGTTTGCTGCCAATTCATATTCTTTATTATTCATAGAAATTTTCCATCAATGTTCCCTATCAGTGTGACCACCCAAAAAAAAAAAATTTTTATTATTATCCTGTTCTGATGCGGGTAATCTGTTCTCTTTTTAGGTTCATTTGTTTCAGACATATTTTATTTGTTTCAAATCTATAAAAGGGATACTCATTATTTTTCATTAAAATACAAATTCTGCAGTTTCCATACAATATTCCACTAATTGACTAACTGTCCATGATTCACTTCTGCATTTGAATATTTAGGTTTTTGAGAACACCTTTTCTCATATTTTTACATAAAAGAAATCAAACATTCTGTTATGAGATAGAAACAGTCTTCAGCCGCACCAAAGAAGAGAAATTTTAACAGGTGATAGAATAAATGGAGAATATGTTAGATAATGACAGAGATACTTTGTAATGGAGCAGAAAAAAATTATGATATGAACTGATAATTAGTGCTTCAGACGTTGTTTAAAGATGTGATTGACTACTCATGGATAGCGCTTGTCATTGATAGAATATTAATATTGATTTCATTAGGTCTGAAATTTGATTGATTTACTGTAATTGTTTTTGGTATTTTTTTTTTTTTTTACCTCTCTTGCAGATTAAAAATAGCTCATCAATAGTTGTGGCCAGATTATGTGGCAATGACATTCCTTCACCAATATTTATGACAGACAATGTGGCAACTTTAAGATTCCAGACAGACTTTTCAGTACAGCACTCTGGCTATGATATCACATTCATGTCATCAACACAAGGTGAGTGAAACAATGAGCTTTAAATTACTGCTGTCTGTCATGACCTGACATTCTCTTTGTGGCAGTGGGTTTGAGTCTTTTGCTTCCTACTTTCAAAACAGAAGTTCATTCTAGATTCTGTCCCTCAGTGCACAAGTGTCAGTATTTTGGGGATCCCTCAGAGTTATCACTAGAGCTATGTAAATTTATGCTTCATGCCAGGTTCTTGGCAGACGAACACTTGCATTGTGATACAGTCATACAGTTTTTGTTTTTGTTTTTCAACTGTGCAGTGAGTTGATACTCTTTTCTTTAAACATCTTAAAATTAGTCAACATTTGCTTCAAAAAATGAGCTCATTGTAAAATGAGTTTTTGGAGTAGCCTACCATGCCTGTCTTAAGAGACAGTTTAGGAGGGTTGGTTTCAGATTAACAGTTGACTGCGTAGCTGAATAATCCAGGCAATCATAAGCAAGCCGACAAAGGGCTTGACTTGAAGACTTGTGAGAAAACAAAATCTTTACAGGCTGAAAAATTGTTATTTTTTATTATCCCTTCTTCTTGATTGATTGATTTGATTCAAGAACCAACATCACAGCAGGGGATTCCCATAAGCGCTCCATCCCCATCTTCAGCAGTCAGCAAAGAGTTCTGATACTAATGGTGCCAGTAGCATTCTGATTATCCCTTCTTCTTAGTGTTCACTGACTGTAAAATCTGGCAGAAACTTTTGGTCGTTCGTCTTCTTCTGAACTTAGTCATGTTCCAGAACTTGAAGTTGTGTGTGCACATCTGTTTTATATATCTTCTTATTTGTTTGCAGACTGTTAGGTTCTCACCTCTCAGGCAGATGCACTCTGACTTTTTAGCAAAACTTTATAGTTAGTCACATTTCACACCATGCCCAATAACGAGGCAGAGGGTCTGTCCCCCCCCCCCCCCCGCCCCAATGGGGCCTCACATAGGCAAGTCTTTTTTATAAGATGCACCTTAATTTTGGAAGTCATTTCTCAAAGAAAAAGTGTGTCTTGTAATTTGTAAAATGTATTACTTATAACAAAATCGGAAACATATAAGTACTTGGGTGCAAACTTCAACTGCTCCAACATGCTGAAAGAAGAAATACAATCTAGAATACAATCCGGAAATAACGTATACTATGCCCTTCAACCTCTGCTAAAGTCAAAGTGTCTGTCTCACAACACTAAGATCAAAATATACAAAATGTTGATAAGACCAGTCGTTTTAAATGGCTCTGAAACTTGGAGCACAACCAAAAGAGATGAAGCCTTATTACAGGTTTTCGAAAACAGTCTTATGATGAATCTTTGGACCCATCAAAGATGCAAACAGCAGTGAATGGAGAGTGAGAAGCAACAACGAAATTCATAGTATGTTTAGATCACCACTGATGACTGGCATCATGAGATCTAATAGACTGAAATGGTTAGGACATATTGAAAGAATGTCAGATGAGAGAGAAGTAAAAACTGTATACATGAGGTCATAGACCACGAGGCAGACCAAGAAGACAAGGGAGAGATAATATATAATCAGACCTTCAAACACTTGTTGTCATCAAATGGAAAGAGAAGGCCAACCAAGAAATGAATGGAGGCGGGTGATATCTGTAGCAATGAACCTCAAGGGTTCAGAAATGCCGAAGAAGAAGAAGAATTACTTTTAACACTACACTGCAGAAAGTTTATCATTCAAGCCACTTAGCAAGGCCAATAGTGATGATTCTAATTGGATACATGTTGATCTCCCTTGCAGGACCAGGTTGTGGTGGAAATATAACCGGTCAAGAAGCAGGTGCCTTCACAAGTCCTGGGTTTCCAGCCAGTTCATTGAATTCAATGACTTGCTCTTGGTATATCAGGCCTCCAGCTCGAGTGAAGATCTACTGGTGGTTCTCTTCTATTTCAACCCCTGAAACAAATGAAGACTGTGACAGTAATCATGTGGCTGTTTATAATGGCTTCAGTGACACAGACCCACTACTGAGACGTTACTGTGCAGTAAGTATTCAAATAATAAAAGTGGGAGAACAGATAGACATATCTTCTTCTTTTTTGTTCCTGGCTGTTCATCCATTTGAACTTTGGCATTGGGCCAGGCCCTGAGTTTTGCATGCACATCCGTTTTACTGGCTTATTTTTAGGCAGTTGATTGTTCTTTGCTGTTTGAGCAGATGCAGTTGGATTTCGAAGGAAGTTCCCAGTTAGTGGACTCCTATGACATGCTTGTTGGGGAGGCAGTGGTTCTATTCTTGTTATCCCTACAATGGGACACTGGATCCCACACGGGGAAGATAGACATATAAATATGAAGACAAAAAGCAAAAGGAGCTTTCATAGTGCTAGTAAGTACCTTGAGTTCCAGAGCACTATTCTGATGGAAATATAATTGATCCACAGCCCCTTTAAAATAACAAATAAAAATAAAGCTAACCTTAAAGTCCATAGCACTAGCCATGTAGCCCTAAGTTCTCAGACTCTTGACCACCCCCACCCATCCACAGTAAAAAGAGGTCATTGCACGCAGGAAAGGTTGTCCCCTAGCAACATATTTTAAAATACACCTGATTAAGGGATTGTTGGATGTCTTGGGTCAGAAGGACGGCAGCTGGAGCCTAGTTGTTGTTCGTTGCCATCTTTCCGTTGGATAGTAGTGTTAGATTGTGCTGTTGGGAGGCGTGGCAATCACAAGTGAGTGTGATGAGAATGATCTGCCCATGTTACTACAGTCCTCCACAATTAGAGCATGGGATTTCATGAATCGTAGAAGGCCTGGGGAGTATTGTAGAGACCATGTGTTGCCCATTCATCATGATGCTATCTCAGCCTACTTTGTTTACTGCAAAGGAGAGGTAACACTGATACATTTGGAATGAAGTATGCTGCAAAAACTGCCAGATCAGAAGAGCAATGCTCTATCTGTCCACTTGTCAAAGCCTCCCACCTATAACTGCCAGCCAAGGCTAAAGGCCTGGTCTACCCTGCTATAACATGAAACTTTTAGATTGCATTTCTCTTCCTATGATAAAGCTTGTATCCTCTTCAATGCACTCCTCAGCTTAGCTGTAAACTACAACATAATTTGCTACCCGACTTTTTAACTCTTTGAGTCCCAAGGAACGCATCATATGTTCATAGATTCCTACCTAGAGGCCCAATAAATGCATGATGCGCTGATTTTATGTTTCTCTTGACTACCCCTTGGGCCTGTGATGCTAAACCCCCTGGGACTCAAAGAGTTAAGGGAAATGCAGAAGAAGACGACAGCACTAAAAACTCTGCGGAAGTCAAGGAAGTTACAACTTTTACTAACCTAGATTATTTATCTCTAATGTCAAATCAGTACTGGTGTAGAAAGATGAAGCATGAAAAATGACTAAAATAATTATAGTAAATTTTAAATGTTTATTAACTGTTCCTGTCAAGTACAGAAAGAATAAGATGGTATGACAGAATCATAATGTAGAGCTGTGGGAGAGAACAAAACAAATTACAGTTAATCCTGACAAGGCAGACCTACTATTGATCTTCCTTAGCAATTAAAAATATTTTTTTTTATAAAATTGTGAACATACAGATAGATTCTTCGGGCTGGATAGATGTCTGGAAACATTCTACAATCTTCGAGAAATATGGAAAAGCCTTACAATCCTGCAGAGGTAAAAAAAGGAAGCTTTATTAAACAATTTTGAAAACAGTTTTATGATCGGTGGACTTATGAAAGATGCAAACAGTGGGCAGTGGAGACTGAGAAACAATTTAAGTCATAATTTGTTAAATTCATTATTGATCACTGGCATCATGAGAACTGATAGATTTAAATGGTTGGAGCATATTGAGAGAATGTCAGATGACAGGAATAAAAATCAATTGCGTACACAAGGGAGCTGAATGGTTGTAGACCACGAGACAGACCAAGAAGACGATGGAGGGATAATATACAGGTAGAATTGCAAACACTGTCAGGTTACTTTTTGAACAAGCAATGGAATCAAAAGCGAAACAATGGCCTGGAGAGAATAAGGCACCTGGGTGTAACCAGGGGTCTGGCTGGCTCACTACACTCAGGGAAAAGGCAAGATGGACATATAACCAAATTACGACTGGTACCATTAGTATTGGAACTCTGCGCTAGCTGCTGAAGATGAGGATGGAGCACACATTAGAATGCCCAGAGTTCTGTGATGTCAATTCTTGACTCAACTAGCCAACACTTGGAGCCACCAACTGGAAAGAGAGGACTTGTCACAGAGATGAGTGGAGGCAGACGCTATCTGCAGCAAGAAGATAAATATATAGATAGATTATACAAATGATTATACAAAGATTGAAATTGTGTGTCATTTTTTTTTTCTCTTCAGAATACCTACTTCAGTTATTACCCCGGACGCACTGAAACACCAATCATGGTGCGGTTTGTATCAACTGGAAACTACACAGCTCCTGTATTCAGATTTCAGTTTTCTCCAAACCTACAACAGAGAGCAATACCATTACTCTGACAACGAATTGTTTCTGCTGATGGTTAATTTGTTGGGATACTAGCAGACCTCTGAAATATTGATTCCCTATACCTAGCACTCAACAAGTTTTAGTTGTGTACATTTTAACCGAGTCAGGTCATATGGTTTGGAAGTCTAGCAAAATGTCAAATTATTCCAAAGTCATGTGGTGTTGTTGATTGTTGTTTGCGTATTTTGGCACTAATTTTCAATCTAAGCTGAGGTAGGCAAGGGGTACTATTTGATGTTACCGGAAGTTATGGTGACCGATATGATTTTGACTATATCACTCACTGAGTGCTGATTGGTAATTCACACATTATTTATGCAAAGTAAGGATTGTGGTGACCCTGGACACCTTCAGGAGTTGGCTGTTAAAAGTTGAATTTAAAGATGAGAGGGTTGACTACACTGTACCAGGATTTTTCCCTATAGGGTTCGTCTATCTTCACTGAGCAGCTAGCCACCTGCCAAGAACATCACATGAACTCCATAGCTTGTGCGATGCTTCCCAGGTATCGCCCAAATGCTGCACTCATGAACTGAACTATGTGTCTGGGAAATGAACCCACAACCTTCAGATCACGAGGTAACTAGCTTGGCCACTTCGGCACAGAGACATCTGTAGTCAACTGTTGTTATTATCAGTAATTCTCAGTGTAATAATGTCTGGGTCCTACATTCAGAATAAGGAGCTCAGTTGGCAGAGTGGCTAGACATTCACCTGTTGGCCTGAAGGTCTTGCGTTTGAATGTGCATTGAGTCCGATTTAAAAAAAAATTGACTTTGGCTCCCAAAAGTGGTACCAGCTAATATCCTGGAAAGTAAAGGAGGCCATTGTAATGTTGATGACTTGACCCACCAAGTGAGGCCAGTTGATTTATATAAATATGAGTCATGCATCATATGACTAATGCATCGTTGATGTTTGAAAGGAAGGGGGTAGGGCCTTTCTTCCCCAATCAAAATGGAACCATTTTATCCAGTTTTAGTGTTCAGAAACAGTATCAAGCAGCATGCAATCTTATAACAACGTCCTGGGTGTGGCTTAAGTCTACCAGTCATGTCTGTTTCTGTATCTGCTGAGTTGATTACACATCCACTGCTGGTCCTTGTGTAGCATCTTCTTTAACGTTGTCTGATAATATCTGCTGGTGACTTTGTAGCATCTTCTTTAACGTTGTCTGATAATATCTGCTGGTGACTTTGTAGCATCTTCTTTAACGTTGTCTGATAATATCTGCTGGTGACTTTGTAGCATCTTCTTTAACGTTGTCTGATAATATCTGCTGGTGACTTTGTAGCATCTTCTTTAATGCTGTCTGATAATATCTGCTGGTGACTTTGTAGCATCTTCTTTAATGTTGTCTGATAATATCTGCTGGTGACTTTGTAGCATCTTCTTTAACGTTGTCTGATAATATCTGCTGGTGATTTTGTAGCATCTTCTTTAACGTTGTCTGATAATATCTGCTGGTGACTTTGTAGCATCTTCTTTAACGTTGTCTGATAATATCTGCTGGTGACTTTGTAGCATCTTCTTTAACGTTGTCTGATAATATCTGCTGGTGACTTTGTAGCATCTTCTTTAATGTTGTCTGATAATATCTGCTGGTGACTTTGTAGCATCTTCTTTAACGTTGTCTGATAATATCTGCTGGTGATTTTGTAGCATCTTCTTTAACGTTGTCTGATAATATCTGCTGGTGATTTTGTAGCATCTTCTTTAACGTTGTCTGATAATATCTGCTGGTGACTTTGTAGCATCTTCTTTAACGTTGTCTGATAATATCTGTTTGTGACTTTGTAGCATCTTCTTCAGCAGTGTCTGATAATATCTGCTGGTACTTGTGTAGCATCTTCTAAAAGTATCCACACCAATATGTTTTTAATACTGTTGAGTTTGACACTCAGGTACTGCTCCTCTAAAGCCTGTCTAGTATTGACACATTCTGTTTCTGATTTTCACCTACATTTTTCAATGTTGACGCCTTTCTAGAATCTTCTGTCTCCAAAGAACATTTGTTGACATCCAGGACAAAAGGTTGTAAAATGGAAACAAACCAGTGACATTATAACACTGTGCCAGACTGAATAAGTTTAATTACGGATTTAAGAATCAGCATCATAGCACATCAGGCTTACCTATAGGTGCTCCGTCTCCTGCAGGAAATATCTTAAAGTGTAGATGCTAATTGTTCCTATAGCTGATTATACACACATCAGTTTTTTCCCCCTCTCATACATCCCTCCTTGCCAGATCTACTCCCAGTTCTGAGTTAACACATTCTTGTACATATTATTCAAAATAACATTGTGTTTTCTGTCAGCATTCATTTATAAATGGTCTTAGGAATGTCTCCTTTTTCCAGTTTGAGTGTTCTTGTAGCTATCACTTTTGTAGCCACTGTCAGCATTCATTTATAAATGGTCTTAGGAATG